AACCGCCGAACTGCAGATAGCAATCAGCTGAAGTGGCCTGCAGTACTGCACTCTAACCACTGCGCCACCTCGGCTCTGAAATGCCATGAAATGCCTGCAAGAAAACAACCAAGCTCAGAGCTAAGGACTTCATAGAAGTGCAGATTGTTTTGCATGAAAGCAAATTCAATATTTTAGAAGACATTGTTGAGATAAAATACAGGTAGTCCTCATCCTTATGGCCACAATTGAGCCCAACATTTATGTTGCTAAAGTGAGACATTTGCTAGGTGAGTTTTGCCCCATTTTACAACTTGTCTTGCCGCTTTTGTTAAGTGAATCCCGGCAGCTGTTAAATTAGTAACACGGTTATTAAATGAATTTGCTTTGGATGTCAGAATGACGAGGAAAATGACCTCGGGACACTGCAACCTACATAGATGTCAGTAAGTCAGTTATCAAACATCCAACTCTAAATCACGTGACCCTGGGGATGCTGCAACGGTCATACGTGTTCAAAATGGCCATACGTTCCATTTTTCAGGGCTCTTGCAACTTCAAATCAACGGCGGGTTCTTACTGGTTCGGACCAATTCAGCCAAAACGCTAGTGGTTTGACGGCCTGAGTCGCTGGAATGGGCAATGACCTAAGCCTGCCATGCCCCTGAACTGGTTCTCCTTTCTGCGCCATAGGCGCCGCCATTTTGTTCTTGGCTTCTGTGCGCAGAACAGTGGCGGGTTGCAGGCGGTATACCCCGGTACAGGTGTACTTGAGCCTGCCCGGAGCACCAGATACTGTTCCGGTACGGTCCTCCCTCCTTGGCCCGCCCGCCCAAGCTCCTTACCGGTCTTTTAAGTCTTCAGTGTTTCTGCGCACGGCTCATTCAGCGCCTGCGCAACACTCCACTGAGCAGCTGGAGCATCATGGAGGCTCACGGAGGCGCTAAGACACATGTGTGTGCTGCACGCATCCAGGTGGACATCGCCGGGTGTCCACATGGACCCACCACTGGCGCAGAACAATTTTTATTGTACTGCACATCCATGCGCTGCGTGCCTACGAGCAAGGCAGCAGTAGTGGCTGCCGGAACCCACCCCTGCTTCAAATGGGCACTCTAAAGCCATAGTAAGACCACACCTAGAGGACAGCAGAGGTCGGTTTCTACTGGTTCAAACCAGTTCGGCTGAACCAGTAATGGTTTGGCAGCCTGGGTCTCTGGAACCAGCCGCGAACCAGGCCTGCCACGCCCCCGAACCGGTTCTCCTACGGGGCTGCCATCTTGATTTTCGGTTGTGCGCGTGTGCAGAACAATTATAATTGCACAAATGTAATGTTTTCCCCCTTTTTAAACCTTTTTTGCGCACGGACAGACCTATTTTTGTGCAAAAGCCTACGCATGCAAAATATTTGCGCACACCAAACGGGCGGTATTGCCGGGAGCAACCCACTCCATCCAGTTTTGGTCCCCACATTATAAAAAAGATGTTGAGACTCTGGGAAAAATGCAGAGAAGAGCAACTAAGATGATTAAAGGCCTGGAGACAAAAACGTAGAAAGAACGGCTGCAGGATTTGGGTTTGGCTAATCTAAAGAAAAGAAGGACTAGGGGGGGACATGATAGCAAAATTCCAATATCTGAGGGGCCTGCCCCAAAGAAGAGGGAGTCAAGCTATTCTCCAAAGCCCCTGAAGGTAGAACTAGAAGCAACGGATGGAAACTAATCAAGGAGAGAAGCAACTTAGAAATTAGGAGAAATTTGCTGACAGTGAGGACAATTAATCAGTGGATCGACTTGCCCCCAGAAGTTGCGGCTGCTCCAGCTTGAAGCTTTTAACAAGAGGTTGGAAAACCATTTGTCTGAAATGGTTTGGGGTTTCCTGCCTGAGAAG